GAGAAAGTTTTTTAGGCAATTGAATAGAATTAAGCATTTCCTGAGGAAATGGTAACAGACGCCACACAACCACAGAGCATATCTGTATCTTTTATTCTTTTCACTTTACAAACAATACGAGAGGGCTTTGTGGAAATTGTGGAAAAAGAATGAAAAGATAATGGAAGTTTTCCATGGACTTTCTAAAGCCTCCTCATATGTGCTATAATAATAAATGCTATGTAACAGTAAGATCGATTTTTATGTCAAAAGATGATTTGGACACTTCTTTCTTCCCTTTGCATAAATCCTGAGAATTGCTTCTTTAATTCACATCTTAAGCACACCTACCTGAATGTTTTCATTCAGAGCCTTGTCCTGCTGCCAGGGTGCCACCGCGGCAGGCAAGCAGAAGACAGCAGCTGTGCCTTGGATGCTGAGTTCGGTGATATAGGTAATTTTGATAAGAACCTTAGCCTTAGGGGGTAAGTTCCCAACACTGACAGTAAAAACATCCTAAAACAGAAAAAGATTGCTTAGTTTTGCAATTCTAAAACACATCTATTCTATACTGGTAATTATTTGAGTTACAATTTGCCAAATTCTTCCTGAAGAAATAGTAACAGAATCTACAAAACAAGGGTTGTTGGTGCTAAAGGGGATATTCACCAGTGTGTGTTAGAAACTTTACTTAGGTTTGGCAGTTGCATTTGATTTCCCTTTCTACCACCCAACATTTAAAGGGAGGTGTTTCAGAACTGTATCCAATCTCTGTGACTCAATGTCTGTCATATGCTATCTCAGAGACTCCCATGATAACTCTCAGATCTCCACCTCCAGAGGAGACCTCTCAGGGACATGTCATCCCACCAATTTCTCCTTGCATTTGCAATATTTCATAGGATCAATAGTGTCAGAACTGCAGTGGGGTCATCTAGAATGGCTTAGAGAAGCTGTTGTTTGACACTTTGGATACTACAAGATAACCTCAGTGGGAGTATTTCAGTACACTGAGAAGTTAATAGTAAGAAAATGGGTAAGTCTCACACTGAAGGGAACAAGGGTAATGGGATAGTATTTTGAGAGGAGAAACAGGAATAAAGGAAGGGCCTCTTTCATTGTTTAGGTTAGATGTTGTTGTTAAGCTATCAAGCTGGTTCCAACTTACAGTAAACCTGTATAGGGTTTTCAAGGAGTGACTGGTGGGTTTGAAATGTCAACTTTGTAGTTAACAGTCCGTTGCTTATCCTACAGTGCCACACCAGGACCAGGGATGAAAATCAAGTAGTGAAAGAGATTCTAGATATTTGAAAGGCACTAACTGATAGAGCAAGGACTAGGAAAATATCCTATAAGGCAGGATAGAGTCCAAGAGACAGATTAGCGCTAGAAATAAGTAGGGAAGAAAGGGCAGATGAGACTAAAGGAACCATTTAAAGTTGGGGGAAAGAAAAGCCAATGTGTTAGTTTCTAATAATCAAAGTCATAGAAGTGGGGAGAGATGAAGGCAGAGGTTAGCAATGGTTCTCAGACTTTATATGTGAGTAAATTCATGATGTATCATTGTTTTTACTTGAAACTACAATGTTGTTGTTGTTATGTGCTGTGGAGTAGGTTCTGACTCATAGCGACCCTGTACAGGGTTTCCAAGGCTATAAATCTTTACGGGAGCAGAATGCCTCATCTTTCTCCCGCAGAACAGCTGGTAGTTTCGAACTGCTGTCCCTGAGGTTTGCAGCCCAATTTGTAACCACTACGCTACCAGAGCTCCTTTTAGGGGTCACCTTTGCTAGTGTTGGAAATAGAGGTATGGTTACTAGTTTAAGGAGAATGGTAAAAGGTTGAAATACCAGTCTTTAGAGAAAGATATCATGTTTGGTAGGGTGGAGGGTCAGAGAAATAGAGGAAGACCTCCAGTGAGATGGATGGGCAAAGTGGCAGCATCAATGGGCTCAAGCGTGGTAACAATTGTGAGGTTGGCCCAGGACTGGGCAATGTTTCATTCTGTTGTGCATAGGGTCGCTATGAGTTGGTACAAACTCGATGGCACCTAACAACAAGAAGAAGAAGAATTGGGGTTCTGTTACAGCACTATAGGATAAGCAATGAACACCTAACCACAAGTAGATGGTTCTCCGAGGAAACTCTTTATGGGTCGCTCTGAGTTGGAACCAACTCCACGGTACTTAGTAAGAATAAAACAAGCCACCAGCCAGGCCTGAATAAAAGGGCTGGAGAAGGATAAGTCCTGTGGGCTAAAGCACTGGACCGCAAGGTCGGTTTGAACCACAAGGTCAGTGGTTCAAACTCAACAGCTGCTCCTAGGAAACCCTATCAGGATCACTATGAGTTGGAACAGACTCAATGGCACTTAACAACAACAACATATAACATTCCAACTACTAATTATTTTCACCTCAATCCCATGGGTATCTAAAGCCAGTGTGTTGGTTTCTGATAATCAAAGTCATAGATGTGGGGAGACATGAAGGCAGAGGTCAGCAATGGCTCTCAGACTTTATATGTGAGTAATATCATTAGTGAAAACTGGCTTCCTGGGGGCCATATGTGAGCACGAAGGAGCACAACAACTCAACTCGTTTGGTGGGGTAGAGACCATAATCATGTACTCTTAGGTGGCAGTGTCTCAAATGAACCTGAGGCTTTTATACAGACTCTTCAGCCAGGGACCAGCATTATTAACTATTTGGTAATCACATCTTCATTGTTGATTCCTATCCTACAAATGGATATCCTAACTGTCAAACGTAATAATTCACCCCTTATATCTAAATGCAAGGTTAGTGGTTTGAATCCACCCAAACGTACCTCAGAAGAAAATCCTGGGGATCTCCTTCTGAAAAGTTAACGACGAAAAACCCAAGAACAAGGTCTACTCTGGCACACACAGACTCACAATGACTCAGAGTCAACTCAATGGCAAATGCGTTGGTGTTTAAGTCTATACTCATTTTTAATATTGTACACACCATGCCCTGGTGGCAGAGTGGGTTGGTTACAAGTTGGACTGCTCACTGCAAGGTCAGCAGTTCAAATCCACCAGCCGCTGCATGGGAGAAAGACGAGGCTGTCTGTTCCCGTAAAGATTTACAGCCTCGAAAACCCTATACAGGGTCACTAGGAGTCAGAATCAACTTGATGGCACACAACGACAACCACCAACCATGCCAAACACTAAATGTTCATGGTATTATGGCAATAAGACCCCCAGCAAGATGGACTGGTAAAGTGGCAGCATCAATGGGCTCAAGTGTGGCAACAATTGTGAGGTTATTCATTCTGTTGTGCATAGGGTTGCTATGAGTCGGTACTGACTTCATGGCATCTAAGAACAACAACAACAATTATGGCAATGTGTTATCCTCAGAGGATAAACCTGAAGTGTAAGGGCCCATCTTTAACAACTAAATCTGCACTCGTTAGTCTGGTTAGAAAGTGCATGTAATCACATACCTGCCAAAGGCACATTTAAAATGTCTTATACTTAAGAGAAAAATCTAATGAACATGATTCTTCTTCCAGATTCTCCACATTATATTCCTAAAAAATAAACCAAACAAAAAAAGCCACACAACCCCAAACCACAGCCATCAAGTCAATTCCAACTCACAGAGATCCCACAGGACGGAGTAAAACTGTCCTACGGGGTTTACAAAACTGTACTTTTTATGGGGAATTCTTGGTGTGGTGCTGTAGGATCAGTACTGAACTGTGAACCACAAGGTTGGTGGTTCAAACCCACCAGCAGCTCCTCAGAAACCCTGTACAGGGTCACGATGAATGGGTATTGACTCGACAGCACTTAACAACAAGTCTTTAAAGGGGCACACCACCACATAGTTCTCCTGTGAAGTAGCTGTTGGGTTCAAATCACCAACCTTTCAGTTAGCAGTTGAGTGATTTAACCACTGCACCACTAGGGTTATTGTATATCTTATTATTAATATAATAACAAGAAAGCAAAGAATGTGGCCCTATTTCAGTACTCTGCACACATGCCTGCTCGAATTATGATTTGGTGAAAGTTAAGTCAATTTTTAGTTAAGCTCAGTTCCAAGACAGTTTATCCTAGAAATATATCACATTCTTTTATCGGAAGATGCCAATTATGGAACCCAAATGTTTTCTTTTTGGTACTACTTCTGTAATTGGAAAACTCAGCTCCCAATTACAGAATATCTTCATATCTGTCTGGTAATATTTACAGTATTTCTTCCATTATTTAGGTAAGTTAGATGAGTGTGGCCAGCGTGGCCTCCCCCTGCTAAAAGCAAATGAAATGATAGGGGCCCCAATGGTACAAATTATCTTGGCTTCTAGTTTGAATTTCATAATGGAAATCATTTTCCAATCCCTCTCTTCCTTCTCATAAGTCTACTGAACAGACGAATATCAAGTCCTACAGGGGCGTCCTGATCCATCAAGTAAGCACCGTGGCCTTTCCTGATAGCTTCTTGGTACTCCTGATGAGCTTTGTTCTTCTCCTTAACCTGGAAAAGACAATGTTTACATCTGTCAAAGTGCGAATGGGGACTTCAGACTTTTAATTAGGAAAAGTTCATCATGTTTATCGAAGTTTAGGCAAAAACAGAAAGCTCAGAGTCCATCGTAGATGAATGGAAGTTTATGTAAACTGATCAATAATTTGAACCAAAAGAAAAAGGGGGCAATGAAAGAGAAATTCTCTTTAAATTGGGAACAAAATACTTCAGACTCAATAGAAGGGAAAAGGCTCTACTGGGACTTTATTTGGAGCAAGAAATAATCAATTTGTGTTTATTTTACCTTATAGTGAACAAAATGTGGGTTGTGATTTAATTGTGGGCTAATGTTTAGAATAAACAAAGAATGAAGCAACTGCATTGGTGCATTTCTTTTCTAAATTCACATCAGTTTGACTTTTATAGCAGGGTGTGGAGGTGCCATTCTTGTTCACCAGTTATCTTGTGTCCTCTCCTAGACTTTGGATGTTGAAGTCACTCTTTTATGAAGTGTCTAGGCATCAAATGTGCCAGAAACAGACCAACAAAGTTGGGACTAACAGGATAGAAACCAGTAGCCAAGGAGGATGCCCAAGTGGAGACTAGCTGCATAAATATTAAAATATTTTGCTTTATGACAAGGTTGCTATGGGGACACAAATAATGAAGATTTAATAGGAATTGGAAACCAAAGCGAAATCACAATCTTCTCCCCTTACCTCTCCTACTATATGCTTTCCATTGATGAACGCTTCGAAACCACACACTGCTGCCTTATCATCCAGAGGAAAGATATATTTAGCCTCAATGGGCACATGACTTTGATTTGTGTATGTCTGAAAAACAATGACCTGAAAAAGCAGAAAAAAATCCATATACTTGATACTACAATCACTAATGAAAACTTAGTGCATTTTTGCTTTCAATTCCTTGAAGTTTTATCATGTTCCTCAAATTCCCAACTCTGGCTTCAGGGATTAGAAGAGATGCCACTTCAGTGTGGTATCTATGTCACATGAGAAACTGCACCAGCCTCAAGATTAGGTAGTTCATCATACGTGCCAACAGATGATTCGCTTGTTAATAGTACAACTTAGTTAGCAGAAGCAACGTAGCTACTGTTAAGCATGACAGACAGCACTTGTGTCTGTTTGTCATCCTGTGGTTGCCTTGCGTGCTACTGTGATGCTGGAAGATGCTGCTATTTCCAATGGTTTCAGCAGAATTTTCAGACTCAAATAGACTAGGAATAAGGACTTGATGATCTATTTCTAGAAAAACTGGCCGTTGAGAATCTTAGGAATAAGAGCAGAGCATTGTTTGCTTTAGTGCAGGAAGATGAGCCCGACACGTTGGAAGACATTCAAAATGCTACTAGGAAAGCGCTGCCTTCTCAAAGTGGAGTCGACCTTAATGATGTGGATGGAGTAAGCTTTCAAGACCTTCAGTTGCTGATGCGGCACAACTCAAAATGAGAAGACACAGTTGCAAACATCCATTAACACTCAGATTGTGAAATGCACAAAGTATAAATCTAGGAAAATTTCAAGTCATGAAAAATGAAATGGAATACACAAAGACTGATATGCTAGAGTTTAGTGAGCTGTAATGGATGGGTACTGGTCATTTTGGATCAGACAGTCTTGTGGTCCACCATGCCAGAATGACAACCTGAAAAGAAGTAGAACCACATTCCTCATCAGAAAGACTATTTCAAGATTTATCCTGAAGTACAATGCTGTCAGTGACAGGACAACACCCATGCACATACAAGGAAGACAAGTTAATATTATTAAAGTTCACTCATCGATAACTAATGTCACAACAAAAAATAAAACAAAGTATTTTTTTACCACTTTCTGCTGTCTGAAGTTGATCAAACATGTAGGCAAGATGCATTGATAAGTACCGGTGATTGAAATGTGAACGTTAGAAACAAACAAGTAACAGTAGCTGGAAAATACGGCTTTGATGATACAAACTCCAGAAATTGTATAAGAGAAATTTACAAGAACAACAACTTATTCATTGCAGATCCTCTTTTCAATTACATAAACTGTAACTATACACATGGATCCCACCAGATAGAACACACAGGAATCAGACTGACTATATCTGAGAATAGAGATAATGTAGAAGTTCAGTATCATTAGTCAGAATGAGACCATTAGCCAGTCGCAGAACAGACCATCAACTGCTCATATGCAAGTTCAAATGAAGCTGAAGAGAATTAAAAAAGTCCACGTGAGCCGAAGTACAGCCTTGAGTATATCCCACCTGAATTTAGAGACTATCTCAAGAATAGATTTGATGAACACTAATGACCAAGGACTAGACAAGTTGTGGGATGACATCAAAAACATCCTACAGGAAGAAAGCCAAAGGTCATTAACATGACAGGAAAGAAAGACCAAAACAGATGTCAGAAGAGTCTCTGAAACTTGCTCATGAATGTAGAGAAGTTAAAGCAACTGGATGAAATGATGAAGTAAAAGAGCTGAGCAGAGTATTTCAAAGGGAAACTCAAGAAGACAGGTATTATATTGAAATGTGCAAAGACTTGGAGTTATAAAACAAAACAGGAAGCGTATGCTTAGCATTTCTCAAGCTGAAAGAACTGAAGAGAATGTTCAAGTCTTAAGCTGCAATACTGAAGGATTCTATGGGCAAAATACCAAACAAAGCATGAACCATCAAAAGAAAATGTAAGGAATGCAGTCACTGTACCAGAAAGAAATGGTCAGTGTTTAACCATTTCAGGAGGTAGCATATAATCATGACCAAAAGAATTGAAAAAAGAAGTCCAAGTCAGCACTGAAGCTATTGGCAAAAAACAAGTCTCCAGAAATTGACAAGACATTTCAACAAAGAGCTACAACTCTGGAAGCACTCACTAGTCTATACCAAGAAATATGGAAGACAGCTATCTGGCAAACCAACTGGCCAAGATCTGTATTTGTGCCTATACCAAAGAAAGGTGATACAACAGATTGTGAAAATTACTGAACAACATCATTAATATCATATGAAGTAAAACCTTGCTTAAACCCATTCACAAATGGTTGCAACAGTATATCAACAGGGAACTGCCAAAAATTCAAGCCAGATTCAAGAGAACTCTGAACAAGGGATCTCATTGGTGATGTCAGATGGATCTAGGCTGAATGCAGAGAACAGCAGAAAGACGTTTATCAGTGTTTAACTAACTGCAAAAGCTTTCAATTGTGCGGGTCATGGCAAGCTATAGACAACATTGCGGAGAATGAATATTCTGGAATACTTAACTGTGCTCATGAAGAATCTGTATATAGACCAAGAAGCAGTTTGAACAGAATAAGAGAACACTGAATGGTTTAAAATTAGGAAAGGTCATGTGCCAGGATTGTATTCTTTCACCATATGTATTCAATGTGTATGCTCAGACATAATCCGAGAAGCTGGTTATATGAAGAAAAACGTGGCATCAGGATTGGAGGATGACTCATTAACAACCTCTGATATGCAGATGACATAACCTTGCTTGCTGAAAGTGAAGAGGACTTAAAGCACTTACTGATAAAGATCCTTCAATAAGGATTACACCTTAACCTAAAGAAAAAGAAAAAATCCTCACAACTGGACCAATAAACAACATCATGACAGATGGTGAAAAACCTGAAGTTGTGAAGGATTTCCATTTCTTTCATTACACAATCAACATCCATGAAAGCAGCCATCAAGAAATCAAGCATATGGCATTGGACAAATCTGCCACAAAGGACTTCTTTAAAGTGTTAAAAAGCAAAACATGTCACTTTGAAGACTAAGGTGCCCAACCCATGCCGTGGTATACATATGAGTCACCTCATATGCATGCAAAAGCTGGACAATGAAAAAGGAAGACTGACAAAGAATTGATTACTTTTGAATTAACGTTTGGCGAATAATATTAAATATTAAATAATAAAGTATATTCTGATATTATATTGACATAGTTCCATCAATAACTCAACTATCAGAAAATATATGTACATGCTGTCAGTCAAGCCACAGCTCTTGGCATAATTCCCAACAAATGTTGACAAACTGATGTACCAAAGTATCAAGATATAGTTGAAGATTTGAGTGTATAGGGTCCCTATGA